CGTTTTGAGGGGACTAATGAATTCAGTCGCACGCAAAATCCTCAATCGAAATGTTTAAATGAACGATTACATAAGTACTCGTAATTGAGGACCAGTTATGCTGGTGTTGAGCAAAGTAAAAGGGCTGCGGGAAGACATGGTCGAGGTCAAAGGGAAAGGCGGTCTCTATCGACCTACTGCCATGATACCAATCACCGCTCATCACTGTATATAAAAAGACAATGATGATTTTTCGGCTAGTACGCCGCAACCGTCAACGCGTGAGAACTCGGTTGGGTGTGAGTGGTTGAGCCATGCCAGTGGTATTCGGGTTCTTGGGGCACATGTCGCCCAACAGTTGTCGTCTTTTCGCGGAAAAAGCGGAGCCCGGACTCCCTATTTACTCGTTGAATTTTGCCAGTTCGTCCCCAGCTGCTGAGTGGTGGGAACTGGTTGTCCCAAAAGCGGAAATACCGCCCGGAGTCAGTTGCGCCGTTTTGACAATTCCGCCGTAGGTAGACAGAGTCTGACAGACCACATGGTGCATACAGATAACTAATACCGAGGAGCGATCGGAGCAAACTTCAAGTTTGGCAATATCTTGGAGTACCCCGCGCGGCGGCGAACAGCCCAATTTCCGTTCGAAGTTTGGTTGGCCGCGCATGTATTGGGTGTTTGATAAAGGACAACAGGTTGAAGATTTGATCAAGTAAAGCAACATTTACAGGATTCGAAATAGGATCCAGATTTCCCAGAGCAAAAAGATCAAAGACCTCGAAATCCCCGGCGGAGTTAGATGCTCGACCCTGACGCTGGAGAAACCTCGAACCGCACTCCCGAACCGCGGGTCCGCGACCTCAAACCCAACTTAAACCTCAAACTCGCAAGGTCTTGTATAAACTCACTTTCCATCAAATATTCAAGTTTCGTCGCTATTGAGGTGGTAATTCGTACTATTTGGGCAGACGGAACCGTCCACGTGAACTTTTCTTGTAAGGTTGAACTTGAAGTTCAACAGAAATTGAATTGCCTTGCAACTGAAATTCTGTCACCATAGTCATGTCTTCAATGCAATGGCACTAAGCCAGCTGGCCAACTAGACACAGCGGACGGGGACGTCCGGAAAAAGCATGGACGGGTCGGTCAAATGATTTTATAGCCCATCTGATGGTCCAATCAGAGTGGCTTTCTTCAAGGTGCGACCATATCGGGCGTAAAATTGGCAAAGTTGTGCGTAAAAAAAGACAATGACCCGAGAATGAGACTCCTGAATGATGAGGGCAAGGCCCACAGCCGGGTGATCCAACTCACGAAAAGCTGGGATTAAACTTGAACTTGAACTTGAACTTGCTGAAACACTTCCAACAACCAGCTGAACTTCGGAACCAATGCTCGATTATTTGATGAGAAATAAGGTCATAGTCTTGCTTGTAAATCTGAGGTAAACTTCCTTCCTGGATGAACATTGCTCGCCCTGTGTATTCAAAAATTCAAAAAGAGGACTCGAATCCTTCGCCCTGCCATCTCCACGGCCATCAGGGTCAAGCCGAGGCCCCGACTCGGAATGCTCCGCACCTGGTACCAACTTCTAGTACTGCTTTATCGCCCATTCACTAGCCTTTTGTGCGTCCTCGTCGGCACCCCTCGCCACCCTCAGTTCCGGCCAGCAAAACCACATTCCTATTTCTCTCGTGCCTCCTTGGCAAGCTTGCGTTGGTGCACGGCGTCTACGAGCGTTCCATTCAATCGGGTTCATTCAACCTTTGCGTGCTTCGTATTTGAACCGCTTCGACTTTTTCCCTCAAATTTAACCGGGAGCTCCGACCGACATCCATACCCATAGCGTGGGTGTATTTTTTTAGGCGAAATCTTCGAGGCCGCAATGCATTGAGCATTTGTGCTTGCAGCACACTTGACAATTTGACATGGAAGGATTGATGACTCTAGCTAGAGATATGACCGCATGTTGCGCGTGTTGTATATACGCATGCGTGTGTCTCAAAGTCCAACTCTAGTAGCTCTCCATGTCCGGACATAGAGGATCCATCTTCTTTTCTTTCGGCGGAGACGGATCCGGACCAAACACGGGCTACGCTTGAATTTTCATGTGGAATCTCCAAAACGCACGGGTTTATAGCTCATAGTCTGTGCGAAGGGCCGCATCGGGATCAACTCAATGCCAACTGTTATCCGCCTTATTACTGGATCCAGAACACTGGCACAAGACCCTCTAGACCCCCTATTCCGTCATGCGGACCTTGGTGATTGACAAAATGATTTTCCGGAGGTGTACGATGTATCGCGCAGCGTCAAGTATATACCGGGTCAGCCTTGCCATTCACATCAAAAAGCGGAGCTCTATCTCGAGGCTCGCAGGTCTGGCAGCTCAAATCCAAAGCTCTGAACACCTGTTTTTCTTTCGGCAGTCTATGTTCAAAACCTTCGTCTGATTTGATTTGTACTTGTTCCCAAATCCACGGTGCGTACACACCTTGACGAATCGAACACGGTGCATCCGGGCAAGATAGGGGCGTGGGACATGATGCGTGATGCCTTGATGATACCGGCCCAAAGCGGCAAACGGCTTTTCTCGCAAATCATCGACCGACGACGACTCTGTTCTTCCTCTGTTCTTCCCGTTCGTCTCTGGCTCAGCAGCACATCCGAAACCATCTCGAACGTCCTCGATATCCTTCTATGCGCGGTTTTCGACCACTCCGACCGCCGAATCCACCCTCCAGAGCTCCAGCGGCTGTGACGCAAGTTTTTCAGATGCAGTTTCTGGCTGCTCTGGTCTGGCTCTCCCTGCAGCCCAGCTACGGGACGCGTAAGCTGTAACCTAGCCTATCATGGACGCGGCTGTGCTGTGGTACAACGATAGTAGGAGCGGTGTAGTGAATTGGCCGCTGAGAGGTGCGTTTTTGTGTGTCTAATCTGGGTGGCTCTGGCAAGGGTTGATATCCCAGCTAGCATTCTCTCGTCAACGTCCGCGCCCAGATGCGTACCTGCCCCTACTATATATTCCTCTCGGCGATTAGCGTCCATTCTTGGTCCATCACCCTAACTCCTCCCGATTCTGCTTCTTCACCCGACTCTTCACGCTGCTCTCCGGGTTCACGCGCACATTAGGCTTCAGTGTACCCGCCGCCGCCGCAGCTGACCTTCCCCGCACCGTCATCTCGAATCCCTCGCTTCGCTTCTCCTCGTCTCCTCGACCCCGGGCGCCTTCCAAGTTTCGACTGGGTCACCCATCGTCCGGCAAAACCAGCGCCCGCGCCGCGTCCACCAACCCCCTCCGCCGGCGCATACACCTCCTCGAACGCGCCAGCCAGCCGCTCCTTCACCACTGCAGACTCCAGCCCGCGCAACGGCGACGCAGACGAGCAGAGCGAGGATTTACACTCGCTGCCGTCGCCTCCGACGTCGTATCAGGAAGACGGCGATGGGCGCGAAGATGAGCATGAGGGAGGGGCATAGCGGCGAGGGGACGATTTACGGCGCGCCGCACCGTGGCGCAAGGGACCTACAAGGGGAGGAGGAGGGGGACGGGTATGATAGTACCCCCGACGCCAACCCGACGCGCGGATCTTTTGAGTATGCATATACCCCGCGCTTCGTATCGCGCTCGATGTGCAAGCCGCTACTGTCGCCTCAAGGTCTCTCTCAGCTTCCCGCTCACGACTGCTCCGTCCATACCTATAGCTGTCCCCACCGCCATGCTTGTCCGGGTCGCGCTCCCTCGCACACAGCTCGATCGTGTCATGGCGGCGCAAGTGCAGCCCCATTCGTAGCGTCATCTTCTTCAGCAGCGCGAGCCACTCCTGTCGGGCGTGGTGGAGGTGGGGGCGGAACCTACCCCTCGTCACGGTCGTACCAAAATATACAGTATCCGACCAGGTGCTCCCTGCGTCGCGCAGTCTTTAGGTGCGGTGGAGCTAAGGGAAAGGGAGCGCTGCGTCAAGGGCTCGGATAGGAACACACACTGTAATGAAGATGTCCGCGCTCTTTCTTCCCTCCCTCCTGCTTTGCCCTGCGCTGACACGCATTTGCAGATCGCGGAACGGCTATCATCTCTGGCGCTAACGTCGCCGTCTGTGACGCGTCGAGCACGATAGTCTCCAAATCGGCGTCCTCTCGCTCCGCTCTTATCAGACGATTGGCGACGCTCACCGCCCGCAAACGGGTACTCCTGCAATCACCTATCCTCATCGGAGTGGCGCACGCACTCCGCCGCTTCACCGCGCGTTACTTGCACGCCCTCGAGCCCGACTACTCCCCCGTCCCCTTCGCATCTCGCATCCTGCGCGGCGCCGGCCAGACTTTCAAGGACTTTCAGCGCCTGCACCGCGCGCACCCACATTTGATCGGAATTGATCCCGTCCGCCCCCATTCGCCGAGCTCCTGCTCCTTCGCCCCCGCGGCGCGGTGATCGCGATTAATAGCCCCACCGCCCTGACTTGCGAGCGACGCTGGTCGACGCGTGCATCCTCGCGAGGAGAGCGCCTCCACCGCTCGCGGGACGCACACAGCGAGCACGCCAGAGCCCTGGTCGTATGACCGCGGGGGCGACGAGACCTCGTCGGACAATATGCGGGGTACGGGCTACGGGCTGCGCCAGAGAGGAGACGATCGCATTCCTGCAACGGCGCCGATTGCGGGCACGCATACCGAGGGAGGGGGATCGGAAGGCAAGGATGGAGCCAAATGCGCATTAGGCGAGGGAGCGCGGGGCGACGGCGTGGTAGCGGAGGCGGCGTGGGCGTGGCGGCATGGGGTGCGTAATTATAAAGCTTGAATAGCCATTGGCATACGGCCGCGGGGCCTCGAATCTAGGCGTCGCGGGGAATGGCTGGCGATTGAACCTACGCCATCTGTTGACAATTTTGTAGTTACATAGATCGTAACGTGAATGAACGAGCAGAACAGTTGAGTAATGCGGACTGGCCGCGGGCAAGGGCGTCGTGGAGGACCAATGAAGGGTGAGGAGAAATTTGCGTAAAAAGACATAGGCAACGGATTAATGCATTAAGAGGGAATCGAACCCCCGGCGGGTCGAAAATCCGGAAATGGCAACGACCCAGGTTACCACTACCCCATTAATGCGATGCGGGCTGAGAGAAACCCAAGGATAGGGGCACAATAGCCCGAAACAACAGTAGTAGCTGAAACCTGACCTCTGCGATTAGCAACATTCGGGGGGCAGAGAAGAGGCAAATATTGCACTAAGTCGAAAGGGGGAACGGACTTGCGATTTTTTCGTTCCTCCAAGTTGCCTGCAAGCCAGAAGTTTACCGAAACTCAACGAGCGTCAAGAGCTCCTGAAACAACTAACAATCAGCATAGCCATTCAGTGGTGGGGAGTGTACACCTTCTAAGCCAAAAGAAAAGTAGACAAGCAAGCTGTCACGCAATACTAATAAGCAGGCAGAAGAAAGCAGGAAGAAAGAGTGGCGGTGTCGCGATCTTTGGGTTGATTGACGTAGCACGTGCTCGTTGGCCGTCACCCGCCACTGCCAGTCACTGTCACTGGTCTCATGCTGATCAGTCTGACTCTCACTGCCAGCACTACGCTCAGGCGCTTCATCGCGAGGACCCAACCACCTTGCGGCATTCAATTTTCATGCCGCTCCTTCGACTGGCATTTTTCTGCACCATTTTCACCGAAAACGAGACGAAGACTTGCACTTGAGCTCAGGTTTCCTCATGACGCTCGACTTAGATGGCCTTGAGCGTCATCGTGGGCGATAAAAACACTCTTTGGGCGGTGGTCAGGTCTAGGATTACTAGCGCACCAAAGGGGCGGCGCCGGGAATGTAAAGCAGAGGCGTACGTGCTTGTTTTCGATCCACCCTTCGCCTTCTAATAAAGCAACGTATTCGTGAAGCCGCAGACTGTACCTCAGCTTGCACAGGTCGAGATCGCCCCGGAGAATCACAATTGCTGCCATTCTGCGCAATCGATTTCTTGACCGAAGGACACCTCACTGCACGTCCACGCGTTCTTTCGAGGTCGGGTTCGGGAGGATAAGAGTCAAAGGCCCACTGCGTTAGGAGCGCTTGCTAGTGCCTGATTGGGTGGGTTTCTCGTTCCGTTATCTGCGCCGACCGTGCTCTTTTACTCATCTCCGTCCATGTAGATCTCGCCACGAGTTTCGATCCAGCGCATCCAGCACATAACATTCAGACGTCCTGGAGGGATCATCCGCATCCCGACGACCCTCTCATCGTCACGTTCATTGACGACCCGCGTGTTCCTACGGCCCAGCCCTGGCAGCTCCTTCCATGTGTGCCCTCGTACCCGTCCAATCGACCGTCTCGAACACGTCCCCTTGCCCGCGGCTGAGCTATAGCCCACCACCCTGTTGTGGCCTTACCTCGGCCAAGGCATTGGCGGCGCGCGCTCACCCTCTCTCCTCACTCGTAACGGTGACACTCGGCCTGCTCATGGGTTTATGCCAATACCACCCGCAAAGCAACAGCGAGTCCGGGCGACGATGCGCGCCTGCACAGCCGTTGACGTGACCGCTGCAAACCTCTTCATGGTCCCCACCGTCACGGTTGCCCTCGACCTCCTTCCCTGTCCCGCCAACGTGCCATTCTTAGACGGTCCCACGTTATTGCTCTCTCCCCCGCTCGCGGCTCGTAGTATGGATAGCACGCCTCCATCGCGATCGCTAGGGTGTGAACACGCACCTGCGAAGACTTGCAGCCCGTATCCTCTCCCTACGACACATATTGTCGCCCTCGACTCCATGATCGCCAGCGAATCCCCTACCCAGGGATTCTCGATGGCGATGTGAATCGCGCACTTGTGCGTGTGTTGCCCGGTCGGTCGAGCTGCTGCAGGGGAACACTCACCGCGTCTGCCTGCGGGCCGCAAGCTGCGTAGGGCCATGCTTACGTCAGCAATCTCGCTCGCCGTGCTTGCATCTTGGTCTTTCGCGTCATCGTCGACTCGTGCATGGAAGACGGGTGCCAGCGAGGCGCGTGCCCACCACCTCCGGGTCATTTGGGGTTGTAGATAGCGTTACCTCATTGCTCGCTATCAGTCTACATAAATTATTTCTTTCGTCTCAAATTCTAGTACCCATGTTCGTCCTGTAGGAACGATCTACCTAAGTTCTTGCATCCCAGATTCTAGTGCCTATGCTCAATTTGTATGAATCTTCATTCGTCTTTTGCCCAGATATCGCGAGTCACGCCCCATTCTGCATATTCCTGTACCCAGACGCTGCTGGAAATTGGACCCCAATCCATCTCCCTGTCTTCTTGCTCCCTCGGTGGCGTGGCGGGGTATTCATAGCTCGCGGGCTTCGACATGTAGTCCTGGTTTTCCTTCGTGGGGTAGCGCAGGTCGGCCGTCACGCCCTCGGCCGCCACCTGCGCGGCGATGTCCTCCAACTGCATCGCGTGCGGGAAGACACAGTGTACACGGGACAGGGTGTGCATCTGGGGTCCGCCTGCGTGGCGCGTCCGGACGAAGGCGAGGAGCTCCTCGTCGGAGCCGGCGTCGACGCCAAAGCAAGAGACGTCGCGGAGCAGCGGACAGAGCGCCTCCGTGCTGAGGAGCGAGAAGAGCTGGCAGGAAATTGGGCTCTGATTGTAAACGAGGGATATTTTGGGCCGATGGAGGACCAGCTTTTCGAGCTTCGGTACATCGGCGAGACACTGCGCGAGCGTTTCCTTGGACATGCGTGTGCTGAGACCGAGGCTCGTGAGATTGTGGAACGTGGCCAGATAAGGGAGAAGTGCAGTGAACCACATTGTGTAGCTATAGTCGAGGGTATCTAGATTTGGGAGCTCGACGTAGCGGAAGAGCGTGGTGCCATTGCCGCCCCGAGTCTGGTCGACAATACAAAGGCGACGCAGTCTGACCATGCGGACGGGTTGCGGAGGTACCGGCTCGGGGCCATCGGCAATGGACAAAGTGCACGTCTCCAGTTGTGGAGATTGCCGCAACATCGTCAACACTTGACCTAACGAAAACGTAGGACCGAGGAGTGAGAGAAAACGAATCGGAGACTGTGGGACCAAAGCATGTGTGTGTGTATCAACAATACTCTTCAAGGATATTCCCTGCACGTTTATGCCGTGAGCAAAGGAGAAGTAGTTGGACGACGCTGGGATGGGAGTTCCTAGGCGGATGACGACGGTCTGCAGCTGCGGCACGTCGGCTGGGGAGAGCGTTGCGAGGGACTGGAACGATTCGTATGCCGGGAAAATAAACCGCATGTGCGCCCAGCGGTTGGAGTACACCATGAGCGAGTGTAGTATAGCGGAGCGATCCTCCGCACCTTTCGTCAGGTCTTCGCTCTCATGAGAGGCCGTCCAGACGAAGGAGATCGATAGCGGAAGATTGCCCGACCGAGACAGCCAAGTTTTAACACCGTCATTAATTATTTGACCATTGGCCCATGGGCTTAGGTATGGCGCCGCGATATGGAGCGAAGCCCAGAGCCGCGGGATCGACAGTGCTATGGCGCGCCACTCCCTGCAGATGAGGGTAAGAACGACGGGGAATTGCGTGCGCTTCATCGTGGGGTATCGGTCGCGGTATGGGAGTAGGGCGGTGAATATCTCCCGCACGATTTCTTCAGGCAGGGTTCGTGCTGTGGATACCAGCGCCAAATGCGCTTCGACAAACTCGGTCAACACATCTCGCTCGTGCACTCGCTGATCCCGTTGTTGAGTGAGCTGGTCAATGGTTGCCTGAAGGCCATCGATATCATTCGTTAGAGTTTGGATGTCCTGCATTGGAGCAACGACAAGCCGCCGGATGCCTCTCGCCTCTTCATCGGAAGCCACAGTATTGGTGTAGAGGATGTGCCTGTAAGGCGTATCCATGCTGTTTTGAGAGAGATCAGACAACGAATCCACTGTTTGCTTTCCAGCTTACTGTGAGATCAAGGAGGACCTCCAAGGAAGACGACGGGGATTCGACATGGAAGCAGGAAGAAAACGGTGTCAGTCACGTTTCAGAAAATACGCGGTCAGGTGCGATATTTCCTGCCGACATCGGCAACTTCAGGTTCGCGTTCCGGGGCAGATCATCTCCTTCCCCGCCATAATATAATGTTTTAACTTTCAGAGGCGAAATATTGCTTGTGGAAGAGAGAGGGCAAGACATGAATTCAACTGCTCGGGAACGCAACATAATCTAGACTTCGAAGATGTAAGGCTCCATTCGGCAACCGTCATTTAGCGTGATTTAGCGGTCCTTTGCGTCACTTGGCGTCAAAATTAAGCGGGTGGAGTAACGCTAAATGACGCAAAGTACCGCTAAATCACGCTACCGAATGGAGCCTAAGGAATGTTAGTTGTACATAAAGATGCCCATCGGCTTGTATGGCGCTTCTAAGTAGGCCATATCCTCCGACGTGAGCTTGACATCCAGTGCACCTGAAATCAATCACTTAGCGCGCTTTCTCCGCCATACCTGACAACACACCGATAAGATCTTCCAGCTTCTCGAGCGACGTGGTACCGACGATGGGCGCCGTGACTCCTGACGCGCAAATTTTAATCAGAATTGCTGCTCGGGATATGGTTCCACCGCGTGCAAAATAAGCGCACCTTCCTTGGCCATGAGCCACGCCAGTGACACCTGTGCCATTGTCGCGCCGTGTTTCTTGGCGACTTCCTCAATACTACGCGTCGCGTTGAAACGTTATATTGTGGAAAACACGGCAGTAATTGTAACATACCGATTGACGATGTCCTTGCTTCCTGGACCCACAAGGAAGTACGCGTCGGCAGGAACCTCGTCCGATCCCTGGCGGATGGTCTTCTCCGCTGAGGCCGCTGCCGTCGCGACCGGGCGTGTTAGCGCACCACGGGCAAGAGGGGACCACGGGATTGACCCCACGCCAAAGTGCTAGAAGCGAGTTGAATGACGAATAGATACAAGAGAGAAGATGAGGAGACAGACCTTGAGCGACGGCATCATCTCGCGCTCCTCCTCGCGATAGAGGAGGTTGTAGTGATTCTGCATCGAGATGAACGGGGTGAGGTTGTGGGTGATTGCGTAGTCTGTCGATCCGTGAGTATAAGCGCGGAATCATCAAATGTACGGGGTTCGAACTCACTTTGCATGACATGAACTAA